ACGAAAGAAAACAGCGAGACATGATCGAAAAAAAGCATAATTATGATAAGATTCGGATTTCTAAAGATACTTGTAACAATGCCTGATAAATACTTGAATCCGCATTGATAACGCTGTTGACATGCAAGGTGCATAACTGATAAAATGCATTTCTTCAAAACAGTGCAATAAATATACAATTTAGGTCTTTTTGTAATCTAATCTTAAAAATTTGACCGATCACAAAGTCAAATGACGAAATAGCATTTTGCTTGTAATTCCCCAAAAAGGTGGGACCAAAAAAAGTTATTGAAATTAAAGTTTTAGAAAAGAAAGTAGAATAATAATAAGTCTCAATTTCATTAGTTATGAATTGTAACCATTTTAGTAGTGGACTAGGATCAAATATTAAGCTCGATTATAGACTCCATACCTTGATAATGCATGAAATTTGAAAATGTTCATTATACTAGAGGGTCGAACACACAACCTTATTAGCTAGCGGCCTATGATATTGCGAGCGTCAAAGAAATACCTTATGCAGATTTTTTTGAAATACAGAAACAAATTTATCAACAAATACATGTATATACGCAGTAATACACATTCAATATCTGTAAATTTTACAGAAATTGAACTAAGCTTACAGGACATTACATCGTAAGTACTCAGATAATCCAAGTTTTTTTAGAATTTTACAACACTATACATATCCTAGTCTAGCCAATAAAATACTATTAAAAATACTTTTAAAAGCTTTCCAGACTAACACATATTAAATTCAATAAACGCTTGTTTCGAACTGCAACCAAAATGGTGAAAAATTGCGTCATATTTTTCCTTTGTCCTTTCAATGACTTTCAGCTTTGTTTTATCAGCGAAGTGAGTAGGTACATTTCGCTGGTAATATCACAGTATCAATAATTTCTTGGAAATATCGATAAACAGCCTTTTCTTGTAGAACTACTAGTCATAATTCGTTAAGTTTTAAGTTATAACATAACAACCTTCATGATCGTATCTGTCAATAGCCTGAATACTAAGTTTATATTAAAATTCGTTCATAATTCGAATCAGGGTAGTTACAAATTCTCGTGTATATGGACAAAATAGTATTTGAAACACTTGCTACGTCATAAAGTCCAGAAGCCACAGAAGGGTAGGTAGGTAGTAGGTATCCCATCTTCAAAGAAAATGAGCAAAAATGTTGTTATATCACGATACAGTAAAATATTTTTTTCTTCTCGGAAATATGTATCCTATACACGTACTATCCACAGAACCCACATCTGAGATTCTATTAAAATTATAAAATATTTACACTTAACTCGTCGAGTACCGTCATTATAGACACAATTATAGAACAATAGGTTGCGGTCACCGGTGACCGCTTGGTGTTTGACAGTTTAAAGCACCAATAATAAAAATAAAAAAACTTAAAAAAAACACTATGTTACTATTTGCTCCTTAACCCTTTACGGCTTTGAAAGGCGTTCGGTCATATAATGTCTTACACAGAACAAGAAAAACACTATATATTGTACCCACTATCGTCTTCATCTATTTTTTATTATTTTAAAAACTGAAACTTGTACAATACCAATTCTAAACACATATAACTGAATATGGTAATGAAAACACAATTTATTGCTTTGGATAGAATTCCATAACACATTGTCATAGGAACCTAATTTATATTCACCCACATAAGTAAAACAATACAGCTTCTATAACCAAAATATCACTCGCGAATAGACCCAGAATATTTCTTATTAAAGACGTGTAAATATGCAGTTGCAGGTTTTAATAATACCCAAATATGAAATGCGCATATCTAAATACTTTATAAAGGATATGATATCGTTGGAACAAAGGACTTTTAGCTTATTATCTTGATAACAAAAGATTACTGATAATGTCAATGGCCTGGCAAGCGATCAGTGTATTGCAATATGCAAAATATATGTATGTATATAATCTACACCTGATTACGACGTAGGAGATCTGGTAATATACAATATCACTCCTTTTTAAAGCCAAAATGCTGAGTACCTACGTAAATGTATGGCTATTTTACGACCACTTTTCCTCAGAATGTGATGAATTTGTTTGATAGGGACTCAAACTTTGAACTAGAAAACGGTGGTTAGAAAAAACTCCGTGCAATTGCTGATATTAATATATCAGCAATTACCCGAGCGTACGGCGCGTCGCGTTCAGTGCGCCTCAAAGAGCCATCACAGATAGGGCCCAATAGGGCTGATGCCGATACGGAGCCGCGGAAAACTTAACGGGTTACCGGGGCTCCGGCTCGAAGTGCAGGAGTAGGAACGGGGTAGTTTTTAGTCAGTAAGAGTCTGACACACCCGCCTCACCTAGGCGGGAGAAGACATTCGATGATTATCCCCCCTTAAAAGAAATTGCTGATATATTGCCGTATTTATTTGTCATTGATATTTACTTTCTAAATTCGTGAAACACTGAGGTTCAACAGTAGCCTTTACTACTGTACCTACGACAAACAACAAATTAAATTAAAAAAAAAACATAATTATGTATTATTTTAAAGATTTCAAGATAACACAAATACGTAGAAGGTACTTTTTTCTAATCGTATCGGCAATAAGGTATTTTTTGCTTTAAAGACAGGCAAGCCTAGACGCAATAAGTCGGCATCCTTGCCCCATGTCTTCCGCGCATAGGGGTGCAACCAGTGGGGTCCCTAAAATAGCAACAACACTCCTACCGGTGCTAATTCCAACCAATTGGTGTGAAAATGTTCCGACTGTAAGGCCCAAGATGCCAAACATATTTTAAGGAAATGGTTTTAGGTTGTTGTCTATTGATTAAGTACATTTTCTGTTGCGTAAATTCTTGAACAAATTTGCTAAAATTGACGTAGTTTTTTACACGTGGAAACAGTGGCCACAAACATAACATAAACTTTTCGTCATCCTTCCAGTATCCAGTTACTATTTCAAATAGGGAAGGAGTTTCCCCAGTATATGGAAGTCATCATTATCATCAACAGCCTGTAAGTGCCCACTGCTGACCAAAGGCCTCTACTCACACGAAGACTCAAACATTATAACCATGCTTACTTAATGCGGGTTGGCGATTTGAAACTTATAATTAGAAATTATAAGCCTAGGTTACCTCACGATGTTTTCCTTCACCGTTTGTCAGTGGTGTCTAAATATTTAGAAAGTACATATAACTCGGAAAAGTCACATTGGTATTTGCGGTTGGTAGGTTGCGAACCCGCACCCTCATGCATGAGAAGCGCCATCGCGACAAAAGCGTACATACATATATAACATACAGAGGTACTACATACAAAGTCACATAAATCTTTATTATCCTTTGTCCAGACAATACATAACGCCACTCCTTTTTCAGTTGAGTAGGCAGAGGACGGTATATAAAAGGCATACATAACCCACAATCTTCCAATCATGATTAGCCTTTGAACTAGTTTAAATACTGAAGTCAAATCAGATCAGAACTTAGTGAATCGTAGGGATTTCTGACACAATTACAAGAAAAAAAACTATTATTTACTGGGAGTTTTCCACTTTCCTAATTGCCTATAGAGACATGAAAATAGTTTTTAGAATTGTAATCAGTATAACATCATAACATCACGCCTTTTTATACGGTAGGCAGACGTGCACATAATACCACTGTATAATGTAATCAGTATAAGTGAGGTAAAACGAAGCATGGCTCGTCCTTCTAACATGGTAATCATAATGCTGTTTGTAATACATAATGTCACATTTCATACATTCGTTAATTTAATAATGCAAAATAAATTAAACATCGAAACTGCGCAGTAATATCGTGTCACAAATTACAATAATGCACCTAAACTTAATCTTGATAATAGATTATGAATTTTGCAGACTACTGACTGCAAAAACTACCTACTCACACATGCGCTTTTTATCGTAGTTGAATGCCCTTATTAGATAAAGAGAAATATTTTAATAGGGCCTTCGTTTGATTGCGGCATTCATATAGGTTATTGGAAAATTAATATTCAATTTATACCTATTGCACAATTTTGTATTATCTCAGATTTTATCTCTAATTAATCCTAGACTTCTCAAGGCCTCGTCATCGTCATTAAAATTAGACTATCAACAAATAATATACCTCTAATTATCAATTTAATAAAATTGAAAAGGGTACTTCTTTTACCTTTTTTTCTTTTCCTACCCTTATTGAAACTACTGGGGGTAGTAAAATATCTCTCTTTCTATCATTCTCCCCTATCACAATCTCCTTTCTTATTCATATCATCAAGGTCTTACTATCTTTTCTAACTTAAGGGTACGTAAAATAATTAAAAATGACGTCACACCTTCACAGAAAGGCAAAGGTGCTACGTATTTTTAAAACCCATTTCCCACCACTTATTTTACAAACCCCATGTAATAGGGAGTGACCCTAAAGCTATTCACAACCTCCAGAATTATTCCATATCATCGATCACTTTCAAAATGGCTTAGTAATTAATTTTTCTATAAAATAAAAGGTTATAATTATGCACCACGTAAAAGTAATTGTGTGACGTCATATTGAATCCAATATGGCTGAAGCACCGTACTGTAATACTGAAATTCGCACACTTTTCACGGTTATGTAGCATTTTCTTGAAAATTTAATAGTTTTTCTTTATTATAGTGCAAACGTTTCGAGTATTTATTTAATTATTTATATATAACATTGAAATCGAAGTAGATTTTGACATTCAACATACTGCCAGCTTGGCTTTTTATGTAGAAAATTTTTCAGCGAAAATTGATAAATTTAATGCAATTTCATCAAGAAGTTAAATTATGTTTAGCGAATTCAGTTAAAGGAAGTGAGTAATAAAGACTATTGTGTGATCAAAATTAACTAAAAACACGTTGGTACATGAAAGAAAATCAAAATGACGTACCTCCTACGTCACAGATTACGCGCCAAAATTTTTCGAACTACAAACTATTTCGAATAATGCAACTATAACTTACCGGAGAAAAAATCCAAGTTTCTTAACAAATCTTCGTGAACTAAATATATAACATAACCAAGTTACTAACACTATTTTATTTTACGTGTCAGATTACGTGCGTTCTTTGAAAAGGGTAGAAAATCAGTGCGCGTCGGCCCACAAGTGCGCGCTGCGTTCGCGCCAACACTGACTGAGATGCGTTTGCGCAGCGACCAGCTGATTACAAGCTGACATTATCAAAATGAATATGCACTTAAATGCATCGGATATAAGGTTTGTTTTACAGTGTAACGTTATTGTTATTGTAATATCCACTTCGTTTTCGTTGCAGTAAAATTGAAATTTCAAATAACATCGGTCTTTGGACATGCTTGTATTAAAGTAATAGAATTATTCAAAGTTTTGCGTACAACGATTACTGGTTGTCTATTTTACGGTTGAGTTCACAGTTTTTTTTGTACTTTTCTTGCTTTCCAATTTGAAGGCACGCGTGACCGTTTATAATTTACGATTTAACTTGAGTTTTATTGGTTAATACCGCAGTTTTAAACGTCAATTTAATGTTTAATTGGTGTCTGATTCATTTCATTTTAGTGAAACGTATGATACTCTTTAGACTCGTACCTAATAATTATTTGGCGATAAAGTTTGGCAGTCGTAACAAGGAATTTTGCAGTTTCAGGTAAATACTGAGCAAGTTGTAGTGCTGACATCGTGATATTGTTTCATCGTTGTACTTAGGTGCTGATTATATTAGTTGGTGGTTTTAGTGTAAATAAAAATCCCGTTCCCCCAAAACCTAATGAACATAAAAATGAAAATGCGAACATTTAGTGGTTCTTATCTAATTTAAAAACGATGATACCCTTATGCGCTACGACTGCGTACAACCTACCTTTCATCATCATCATCATCAGCCCATGTTCGTCCACTGCTGGACATAGGCCTCTCTAATGGCACGCCACTGAGCTCGGTCTTCAAGCTCCTCTCATCCAACCACGGCCAGGCACCTTGAGGATATCGTCACTCCACCTAGCTGGAGCGCCCGTCACAACGTTTGCCTAGACTCGGCCTCCCCCTAACCGTGTTCGCACTCAATGCCAAAAATTTGGCTTGGGGTCACCGACGTTCGGGTTAGGATGATGGTAGACTAAGCTCTGGAGACAGGCCTAGTCGTTCTGAACCGGGGCTCTGTTCCCACGTGGCCTCGACTCTAAAACACGTCCACACCTACCTGTAATATCAAGAAAAAAGAAATTGGACATAGATTCAAAACGATTACCGCTTTGGCTATCTAATCCATGGACGTTTCCACTGAGAAAATGGGACGTATATCTATATAGATTTTCACACACTATCAAACAGTCGTAATGGAATATTATGTGATATAAGATACCTACATTAGATACTACATAGTACATTAGCTATCAATAACCAGTGTGGCTGGCCAGCAATGACCTAAGGGATCAAGTATCATCTAAGTTATAGGGATGTTACAGATATGATCATTTCGGATCTGGATAAGGATTGAGCAAGACAATTTTTATCAGTTTCGGTATCATTTTTTTATGGGATAGTAGGCAAATGAGGACACGGATCACCTGATGGTAAGCAATCAGCGCCGCCCATGGACATCCGGAATACCAGAGGAGTCACAGGTGCGTTGCCGGTTGCCTTTTAAAAGGAATGCGCTCTTTTCTTGAAGATTTGAAGGTCGTTAAATTGTTACGTTATATTATATCCAATTAACTGTTTGTTTTAACTAATTTTAATTACGCTTTGGGGTAATATTTTAAGTAAAATACAAATATGTATGTATGTACGTATGTATAGGATAATCATAATTTTATCTCCTTCCTATTCCACTTATATCCTTTACTATGGAAACTTTAAAACACTGCCATACCAACTACAATCGACCCCGTTCTTCTCCATAGGAATCTATACCTTGGAACTAGCAAGCAACTAGATTCACTTCTAAATTTTTGTTGTTGACGTTCAAAAGTGGCATCCTGGTCTAATTAAAATTTTGACTTTGACTTTGACAAGAAGATACATAAAAGCAAACCAATTGCAATACACTGATAGACGGTACAGGACAACAGGGCTTAAAGACAATATTGATCTAATAATTTCGGTTCCAGTTATGGGACTCCATAACATCACTACTAACTACTAAGTAACAACGAGTGCCTATTCTATAGTACCCGTCTTTGAACATGAATGAAGAGATTTGTATCCTAACTGTTTCAACTTATGAACTTAGACCTAGATGAGTTAGAACAATAAAGCCTTTGTGTGTCTGGAATAAGGTCATTTCCTAAAATGTTTCGCTTAATTAACCATCTATGCAGTATATCTTATACTATTACTAGCGGACCCGACAGACGTTGTCCTGCATATCCACTTGAATGTATAAACAAAAATTCATTCGAATTAGTTCAGCCGTTTAGGATAACTAACCTAGAAACCGACTGCAACGCCATCTGCCGGGCTGATTTGTGAATCTATACCATTCCCAGATCCCCTTGAACACACACAAAAAATTTCATCAAAATCGGTCCAGTCGTTTGAGAGAAGTTCAGTGACATACACACTCACAGAAGAATTATATAATAAAGATATAAAGCGGAAGAGTTTGATTTTGTGTGTGTGTTTGAATGCGTTAATCTCCGTAACTACAAGTCTGATTTGAATAATTATTTTTGTGTTGGATAGCGTATTTATCAAGGATAGCTATGGGCTATAAAACATCACGCTACAACCAATAGGAGCTGAGCAGAGAGAGAGAGAGAGCTGTGAAACCGCGCGGAAGTAGCTAGTCGTAAATATAGGTCTGAAATTGGAGGGACACTGTGAGCCGGTGCGTTAATCTTATCAAAATACAAATGGCATATCTGCGTCAAAAATTAAAATCCATTCAGTTTAAGGGTGAAATAAACAAAAAACTTATTTCCAATTTAGGTATATTGGTTTAGTTAAAACTATATTAAGGTTTGCAAACGAACAGAACGTTCGTCGTATGTTTAATAGTTACATTTAACATGTCCAGTCTAGCGTCCTTTTGTTATCAAGTCCACAAACGACTATATCATGCGCAGGAGCACAGGACTACGTTCCCAGTACATTGTAGGTGCGCACGCGCCGTGACGCGCGAGGAACTTTATCGTCTTCCTTTGTATTTAAACATTCTAAATGGTAATTTTCTTTGTTTTTCTATTGCTTTTGTTTTATTTCGAAAAAGCTAGTTTATATTTGTTTGTGTATTTGTTTGTATGTGTCTTTTTAAATCACATTAGTTTGAAAGAAATGAGTTATTTCGTACTTTAAATTATTACTACTTTTCCTATCTATATTCGGTGCTGTTAAAATATTTGGAGCAGGAACAACCCATTGACATCGTCTAAATCTAACTTGAGCTTAACAATGATTTTAATCAACCTAATCATAACATAACCTCACGCATTTTATCCCCGTAAGGGTAGTCAGAGATGCGCATTACTTTTTTATTTTTATTTTTATTAAGAGGAACGATAAACGGTTACATTATAAAGTCTAACTCACTATATAGTTTACACAAGATACATTTTAGGCAATAATGCAACCCACAACAACACTGTCCACAGGCACTTAATGCCACTGTACCTCTACAATGTAACACCCACTTTTCACTATTTATATTATGAGTCTCATGTAATAGGGGGCGACACTATGCTACTACTGAGAATTAAAAAAAACAATATTACTTTGCTCGACCCGAGAATCGAACCCGAGTTCCTTTGCCCAGCAGTCGCACTTGGGACCGCTCGGCCAACGATGCAGTCAACCTAATCAATCAAAGATAAACTTCACTCAAAAGACAAAAAAAAAAACAAAAAAGCATCATTAATAATAGAACTTCTATTTGAAAGGTTGGCGCGGTGGCTATGCAACTGGCTGCCGTGCAACATGTCGCGGGTTCAATTCCCGCACGGAACAACTGTTTGTGTGATCCACAGAAGTATTAAAAAATGGTGTGATACATAGTTTTTTGTTTCGGGTCTGAGTGTGACCTGTATGAGAAATTATATATTTTAAAACGCACCAACGACACAGGACAAGATCATAATGTGGGGCAGTGTTTAAAAAAAAATAAGGAACTGCATCATCTCACAAATTCCCACGAAGCATTCTGTGGTACGTTTGTTTGGCGTGGAAGCAAGAGATAAGGGTGCATTCACCCCGCAGGTCACTGCATGCCACTATCATTACACAAGGGTCGAGTTCATTACAAGTTACTGTCATATTTACTTCAACAACTTTTATTTATTATAATTTATTTAAGTGTGGGAGAGCCATGCTTCGGCAGGAATGGGCCGGCTCGACCGGAGTGATACCACGGCCTCACAGAAAACCGACGTGAAGCAACGCTTGCGTTGTGTTTCGTCGTGTAAGTGAGGTTACCGGAGTCCCAATTACCTTCCCCTTCCCTGAATCCCCAACGATCCCCAAAAAGCTGTGACGCACTTGTAACGCCTCTGGTGTTCCAGGTGTCCATGGGCGACGCCGATTGCTTACCATCAGATGATGCGTCTGCTCGTTTACCGGCTTATGCCATACAAACAAAAAAATAAATATATGATAAGTAAATAGTACAATTTGTTTTTATGATAACTTTCGTGAGACATACTAAATTAACTAAAATCGCGAGTTACTCACGTGAATAGTGAGATAAGAGATAATGATACTGAGAAAAGCTCTACTAGTTTCGAACCACTGAGGGGTTCTTCCTCATGAGCAGCGTGCGCGGTCGCGGCGACGTCGCGCAGCCGACTTTATTAGAATAGAGGATTGCCCTATACCTAGTGAATACGATTTATTTTGTCTCTAAAATGCTATTCTGGATGTTTTTACTACTTATAACCAATATATCTTTTTAACCGACTTCAAACTTGAACTTCAAACTGTAATAAGATGTAGAAGCACCTATGCCAAAAAAAACTCATATATAACATCAATCAAAATATTTAACAAAATACCCAAACATATAATTACCTTTAAATAAATTTAAGATTACATTAAATAAACTACTAATCAACAGTTGCTTTTACACCTTAGATGAGTTTCTTACAATGAAAGTTTAATGTGTGCAATAAATACTAAGTGTGCAATATTAAGTGTGTTGTTATTTAGTAA